ATGTGGATGTTATTTTTATTGATAAAAATTGTATTTGTTTTTACTCACCTCTGATACTTTGTTGAGTAGTGCACTTGGTGGCAGTCATGGAGTGCCAAAAGTACACTATAAGGGTCGACAAGGAGACTATTACGTCATGGTGTGTCAAGAACTTCATCTTTTTGTGGTATATGGTTTTCATCTTTCTAATTTGTTTCCTTCAAGTTTGAATGTTAAGCTTTCTTGTTTAGGTTATGGACATGTTAGGGCCGAGCTTGTGGGATGTATGGAATTCTTCAGGGCAGGCGTGAGTTTCTTGAACTTGTATCTCTATGTTGCTTTACTGGTCACATATGTTCTTGCATGTGTGTTGCATTACTTATCTTTGATACTAGAAGTGAAATGGTGATTTGGATTAATGCAATTTCCGGCTGGAGGAATTAGCTTTGCATATGGTTGTCAACTCTGGTCTAGGGATTTTTATTAAATCAAAACCTGAATGAGATTTGATGATATCTTGAGACCTGATTGACAGTGTCTTATTATAAGTCTTTAGAGATTTTACTCAATTCCATTCTTAATGATGTTATTACTAAATCAATATGATTCAGAATTGGGCATCTCTAGTTTTTAGTCTGTAAGAAAATAATCATTGGTCTATGGATCGTGGAATATGTAATTTTGGACATTTATTTGTATGTGTCTTATTGTGGTTGGATTTATAGCAGTATGTCTGCAGAAATGGTCTCTTGCATAGCAGTGGAATCGTTATCAATCTTGGATAAGATGCATGCAAAAGGGTAGGCAATTATGGTTTCTTTTTAAAAATGATTTACAAGTTTTCTAGTGTAATATATTGTATCTTGATTTACAAGTTCTTTTTTTTTTTTCCCCCCTAAATGATCAATAGTTATGTGCATGGAGATGTGAAACCAGAAAACTTTTTACTCGGTCAACCTTCTACCGCACAAGAGAAAAAATTGTTTCTTGTTGATCTTGGATTAGGTGAGTAAAGTTCTATACCCGATATAGACATTTTTTTCTCAATTTGTTATTATTGTATTTTGTTTCATATGTCATCTATATCTTACAATTTTTCTGCAGCAACTAAATGGAAAGACAGTTCTACTGGACAGCATGTTGAATATGATCAACGTCCTGATATGTTTAGGTTAGTGATGTGTGCTGTCGTCAAATCTTAATGCTATTCTAATCCTTATGGATGTTATAGAATCCATAATAGTTGTTGGCATGTGTCCATTTGATACTTAGTCTTAACACTAGCATTCGTTTTCTTATAACGTGGCTATTATGGCATATTATGTTGATATTGGTTCAATGTTCTTGATACCTTTTCTTGCCTACCACCCCAGAGGAACTGTACGGTATGCTAGTGTTCATGCACATTTGGGCCGAACTGCTAGTAGAAGAGATGATCTTGAATCTCTTGCATACACTCTTATCTTTCTCCATCGAGGAAGGCTACCATGGCAAGGCTATCAGGTATTATAAATTTTGAGTGTATCTAGCACTGTGCTGAAGTTTTTAGTTTCCTTGTCAAACTAACTTCTAACCTGCCGCTTTCTGTTAGGGTGACAACAAATCCTTTCTTGTTTGCAAAAAAAAGATGGCAACGTCTCCTGAAATGTTGTGTTGCTTCTGCCCCCCACCTATTAGAGAATTCCTTGAAATTGTGGTGAACATGAAATTTGATGAAGAGCCCAATTATTCTAAGCTAATATCTCTATTTGAGGGTTTTATTGGACCAAATCCAGCAGTAAGACCCATAAAAACTGATGGTGCCCAGAAGGTAATCAAATTGCCCCAAGTTTTTGGATGATATTGCTCATCAAATGTTCTATTAAATAAATCATTTATTTATAATCATTGCTAGATTATCAGTCAAGTTGGACAAAAGCGTGGCAGGCTGAATATTCCAGAAGAAGACGATGGGCAGCCAAGAAAGAAAGTTCGTTTAGGTGTTCCTGCGACACAGTGGATTTCAGTTTACAATGCTCGGCTGCCAATGAAGCAAAGGTGAAGTTAGATTGTGCAGCTTTCACTACCCCCTCTCATTTTACATGCAACCAGAAGAATTACATTTTGCAACGACCCAAAATGATAGGGAGATTGCTGACACTTTCTTTACACCTAAGAACATTTATTTGATTTTAGGTCATATGCTATGAACTGTGAAGCATGTCATTACTTTTTCCTTGGAGTTTCTAATCAATTAATAAAAGTATTTAGAATGATCGGCAGAAAGGGGGTATTGAGCTGAGGTGTGGCATTCATTCCATGGGAAATTTCCAATGGCATGCTCTCAATTAACTTGCTTTCCATGGTGATAGGTATCATTATAATGTGGCTGATGCAAGGTTGTCACAGCATGTAGAGAGAGGAATTGCAGATGGGTTACTTATTAGCTCTGTGGCATCTTGTTCAAATCTTTGGGCATTAATCATGGATGCTGGAACTGGTTTTACGAACCAAGTCTACGAGCTCTCTCCCTTTTTCCTGCACAAGGTCATTTTCTTTCTTTCAATTTGAAGTCAATTTTTCATTACTGAAGTTTTAAATTTCCTGTCGTATTCCATGATTATTAAATTTAATATAAAATAAGCAGGAATGGATAATGGAACAATGGGAAAAGAACTATTACATCAGTTCTATAGCTGGTGCTAATAATGGAAGCTCCCTCGTGGTGATGTCAAAAGGTTTGTCTGCATCAATTATGTTTAATGTGACATTGGTTGTTGCTTTATAGATGGATAATTGTTGTTTTCTGTCTCCTGGGCTCCTTATCAATCATAAAGACCTTGTTATCTAGGTTTTTCTTGCACAATTAAGAGTTAGTTTTATTCTTTGTATCGCTCAATTGGTAGAGCAGAGGATTCAAAATCTTCCTGTTACCGGTTCAAATCCAAGGGCACAACAAAAAACTATAGTCAATAGAAGAGAATATCGTTCTGATATCAGTTCTGCAAGTTCTTGCTATCAATAGAAGAGAATACCTACCACTATTTTAACTTTCCTTTTATTCTGCTTCTGCAGGGACCCAATATACCCAACAGTCGTACAAAGTGAGTGATTCTTTCCCCTTCAAGTGGATAAACAAGAAATGGAGAGAAGGATTTCATGTGACGTCAATGGCAACTGCAGGAAGCCGATGGGGTGTTGTCATGTCACGCAATGCTGGTTTTAGCGACCAGGTTGAGTTTTGTTTATGGTTTTATTGACCAGTTTGGGTTAATTATGTTGTCATATGGCTCTACCTCTATTTAGTATAGAACTTTAAACTTGGTGTGGGAATTATGTTAACACTCTCCACTATTAATTTATTAGTCATTGAACAGGTTGTGGAGCTTGATTTCCTCTATCCAAGTGAAGGCATCCACAGACGATGGGATAATGGGTATCGAATAACATCCACAGCTGCAACTTGGGATCAAGCAGCTCTTATCTTGAGTGTTCCTAGGCGCAAACCCGGCGACGAGACTCAAGAAACACTGCGGACATCTCAGTTTCCAAGCACCCATGTAAAGGTACGCTGATTTTAACATGCAAATTGTGAGTGAATAACAACCATTGATATTGCAAATTGTGGATTTTGAATGTGTTTTCTTTGGAGCAGGAAAAGTGGGCGAAGAATCTGTATCTTGCTTGCCTGTGTTATGGAAGAACTGTAGCTTAAACCATATTTTATTATCCCCAAGGAATTCGGAAAGAAAGGCAGCAGATTTTGTTGTTTGGTGCCCATAATAGATAGTTGTTACATTGCTGTAATTTTAGATTGGGAGAGTACATGGCCGTGTTTGTATATTAAATTGGTTCCGTCAGAGCTGTATAAATGGCTTTTCTTTCTCGGTTTCACATTTCAATTTAGTCCTAAATTAACAACTTCTCTCCGACGGTCAATCAAAATATATAAAAAGGGGCACACGTCCATGTCCATGAATAAATATAATGAAAATAAATAAATATCTAGTAAATGTCGTTAAGACCTAACTATAATGAAAATTAGTAACAATCTAACTACACATGAAAACAAGAGTAAAAGAGTCCAAAATGGGTGGAATATATTTGTATTCTATAGGATATTCGAGTTTGTCAACATTCCTCCAGCAGAAGATTTTATCGTAGATCAAACTTTGTGTAAAAAGAATGGATAGAAATTTACAAATATGTTAGTGATAGATTGACAGTGTCGTTCATGACAGAGTTCAATGAGTGGAAGAACATCCTGCGAAGTTAGATTGACAGTGTTTAATCGTCAAATGCATATTGTTATATACCTAGGGGATCGGAGCACGTACACCAAAATCGCTCTGTTCTAACCACACCACAAAGCATAGTCCAACCAGATTCAATTGTAGAGTACATAAGCGCAACCAAATCCAACTCTTATCATAATTGTGGAGTCAGCTTATTGCAGACGAAAGAGAACAAAGAATAGAAAAAAAAAAAAAAAAAAAAAAAAAAAAAAAAAAAAAAAAAA